ATCATTAATTACTTCAGTGTAATCATTTTAACGACGAGACTCAAACTTACCTTGTCCACATGGTTTGTTATTTCAAGAACCCTGGCCTCTATTTTCTTCTTAGTGCCAAACTTCCTGTACTAAAAAGTGAATTAAATATGAATAAGTGATACAATGTACGCCATATCAAGTACAAATCAATTGTGAAACACTTCTTTAGAGAAAAAGTGTGTCAAAGACAGACTCAGTAAGAGAGAGGGAGAAACTAAAGACTCAAACCTCGGTGTGATCGACCACAACAACCAGCTCGACGGTCCTGGGCTTCTTTGAATGGTCTTTGGCTGACCTCTGCTTTTCTGTGTGACACATAAAGCAGGAAACATCGTCAGTAATTCAACTCAATGCAATACAAAAAGACATGGACACAGGGACGTCCAGAAAACAAAAAATATACACAAGAGAGATTAAATATGAGGTTAGACAAGATCTACAAAGAATTCTGATAATTAAGCAGAATTATTATATATGAATAATCAACAGTACTACAAGTGTATGTGCAAATATAAGTGTGTTTTTATGATTAGACACAAGTTTTATAATGACAAAATACTTATTTCCTCTTTTTATTCCATATTTAAGATATTTTAAGCATATTTTTTTATCATTTATTATTCTTATATTTCTTAAAATAACTTTAAAAACATTGTTAGAAAGGAGAATATTACCTGAAAATATTAATAAAAAAATAAAATGTATAAAACAAAGTGTATGTGGAAAAATTAAGCTAAGCTCCGTTTAAGGATATTTAGCATATCTCCGTAATAAACAGTGTTATGATGTAGAGCTTTAGTGTTTAAAATTAAAATTATTTGAGCTCTAGTGACGATATAATACCAGGCACACTTTTTGATGCATAAGTAGACCTTTCTCTATAAATGATGCAAAATCATACTTGATGCTAGTTGACAGGTCTAATAGTAATAGTAATGTTTAAGTCTCTTTCCCTGATTTCTATTTTTATTTTTTTTTGCATTTTCCTTCTTTTTTTTTTATCTTAATTTATTGTATAGAATCAAGGCGTAAGGGAAGTGCAATGCAACCCTTTTAATATTTAAATTATTCATTTTGGGGGACAGATGGCCTAGCGGTTCATGTATGGACGCTGTAGTCCTCTAAGAGGGCAGCCAGGGTGCGGGTCCGACCTTTCCCTCGTGACTGTTTATCGCTCATATTTTAAAGTTTGTTTTAAAGGTAAAATGTTTAGTATTTGTTTTTGAATGAACACAGACTTATTTAACGCAGAGCTTGAATTCATCAGTCCAGTTCCCAGAGTTATAGTTAACTGTCTTTACCGCTCCTGTAACTTTTTTTGTGTTTGCAGGAAATTGTGTAAGAACGGAGCACAGAAAATCCTCAGACATCAGCTGAAGGCTTTACATCCTGTAGTGTGTGTATCTGTACGTGTCCACACTGTGTGTCCTCACCAGACTGCCGAGCTTGAACAGTCCAGACGGACGAGCTCCATGATCATAGAAAGTGGTCGTGTTTCCATGGGAACAGGAGCTCCTCTTCCTCCTCAGGTGTCTGTAGTTGTAAACGGCGTGAAGACCCTTGTCGCTGTGATCCTCAGAGCCCTGCCCTCATCCTGTTGTCCCGCCTCAGCACCAGAGAGAGGTTCAATGAGGTACATTTGATCCTGGAGACGTACAAAGCCCCTGTGGACCACAACAAGAACTTCAGTAACACTCAAACAGATCACAACTCGACTAATTACATTTGTTTTTATGTGACTTTGAAGTTTTCACAGCTACATGCATTTACAGACAGAGCTGTCAGCAGTCTTTGTGGTCTTTGTGATTGAGGTCATGGATTCTGGAGGACTTTGGTGTGGACACACAGTCTCAAATAGCAATTAAATTCTGAGCCCCTCGCCAATAATTAATAATATTTTGTAATTGGAGATACTGGATGATCAAAAGAAGTACTTGAATGGTTACTCACTTTATTCCTGAGCAAATTCCCACGCTGGCAGACGAGTCCTCCATGCCCATGATGTGTCCATGATAGTAGCAGTTAACCTGAACACACGTCCATTATTTGTCACAGGATCCAATGAGACACTTCAAAGGATTAATCACAGTTTGATTATGTGGTTTATTATTTCAAGAAGACGGATTTGTACTGGATGTGTCACAGTCAACTGGAATGACCTTATATGTCACTTCCTGTTCCACATTCGTATTAAGACCTGCAGTGAGTATCGTCACCTCTCAAAAAGAGTAACTTTGTGGTTTCATGCCATCCGTTACTAGAAAAAGTATTGCATACATTGGCATGTTGCATACAATGAACCCCACATGACTTTTGAAGATTCATAGTTAAATGATCTCGGACGCTTGACCAATAAAACATATAATAGTAGAAAAATGATTTAACCTTAAGTAGGTGAAACTTCTCAAATAAAGATCTCTGTTGTACTCAACCTGTTTCTTATTCATCTCTTAAGAAGATGTGACTTTAATTTAAGACTGATGAAAATAATCACACCAACATTATGCAGATTTGTTCAACTCAGCGCAGCCAAAAAAAAATTGAACAAAACCACTGAAACTATGTGGGCAGCTGGCACTGGATGTCTTTTACTTTCAACCTGTGAAGTTAGATTAATAGTTTGTTTTATATGCTAGCCGGATTTCTGACGTCTGAATCGCCCACTTCTCTGTTTTATTTAGCTATTCAAATTAAATGAATGAATGAAGTGAAACAAATGCAGGGTCTGATTTTTTTTGGGGACTTAGAGTACTGCATTTGAACAGAAATCATTGGCTTTATATGTCTACACTCTTAGATTACTTTAATAGAGGTATGTGTATCTGATAGACCCAGCTAACTTAACGATAGATCACATTATCATGCCCGCTGATCATGAAAAAAGGGATTATGTTGGTGTTAGCAGTGAAAGAATATAAAGCTATACATACCCCAAGATCTGGAGTAGTTGTGACTTCTGTGCCCTCATCAGAATAATGTGTCACAGAGAAGTTTTTCCCAACAAGGTTTCTGAAAGGACAGGATTTTTTTCATTTCAGTAATAGTAATATATCCAGAAACACAACACAGCATCTCTAAAAATACATGGTATATACTGGAAAACACTCCACAGAGTTAAAAAAAGGACATTTTTCTTACTTGTTCTTCTCCAGGTGCAGCGTGTAGTTCTGCCCTGCTATTGTCAAAGAGTACTGGAGTACATCAGGGTATGTCTACACACAAACACACACAAACACAGCAGAAGAAATTTAAATATATTCTGCAAAGGGTTGAAATGGGTGTTGTAAATAATCTAATAACACTAATAAAACCCTGTTAAGAGAGCGTGTTACCTGGTGTGAAGCAGCATCATTAATGTGAGATGAATCCTTTAGCCTCTGAGGTATCACTGATTGGTACTTTATCACATGAGGAAGAGTCCTCACACTGCCGGCAAATAATATTCCTGCAAGGATACCAGGGATGTTTGATAAAGCAATAAGAAAGAAAGAAAGAAAGAAAGAAAGAAAGAAAGAAAAAAAGAAAGAAAGAATCACAGAAACAAACAAAAGTCATACCCCATGAGGAGATGAAAATCCATATAAAAAATCCAGAATCTGGCATGTTGCTCTACCGGACGCTCTCTGTCATTGTGTGCTTGGCCGTCTGAGGGAAATAGTGAGGAGGCTCTTCAGCTCTCCGCCCCTCTGTGCTGTGTAATATCCTGAAAATTACCATTTGAGGCTCAGAGACCACATGAGTCACAACCTTAGCCTGTAAAAAGAGTTATAACAAAAAGACAATAAAGTGCTGAGTGAGTCAAATTAAACTAACAGACGTGAAGTGTTAAAAACTCTTCATTTAACTTCACATAGGACTATAAATATATATTATATAGGAAACAAAACCTGTTAAGGGTTATAAAACAGATTATTGGAGAAAGTTGCCCCTGCCCCAACCTTTTCCGACAACTTTATCATTTCACAGATTGGTCAGGGAAGTAGTAGCCTATAATTAAATATAAGTAGCCGACATAGTTTTCTTGATTTTTTTCCCCATTTTCAACTAATGTGTCACTTTTCCAAAACGAAGGGAATCTTTATTTACAATGAAGTAGCTTTACAAAAAAGGATCACACTGGTCAGATTTAAACAACTAGGCCTAAATTTAGTTAAAACATAATACATAAAAAAGAAAAGAGGAAGTCTACCTTACAGCCATTCACTTTAACTAAAACCTTTACAGTCTATGTAGAAGACAGAGACCAAGCTTTGTCCCTAAGAGGCCTTTGTCTCCACCTACTGGTGTAATAATGGAGTAGTCAGTTTCACTTGTGTTCATTCCTGGACAGAAAATGTAAAGTGAGATGGAATTGTGCGTGTTTGCTGTACTTGTTACCTTCGACAGGGAAAATATAAATTAAAAGCTACTGGAAATCCTAACATTTAAATTCTTATTGTATCGACAACTTTTAATCATAGGCTGCATCCGACTCTTTATTTTAACTCTTTATTGTTATTTTACTGAATTCAAAGAACAGTAATGTACAAATACTTAAGGTAAATAGACAGTAGCACATGTTAATCAAATGAAAGAGGGATTAGAATAACAAAATAGTATTGTACAGAGGTTACATGAATACGGACGTCCCATGAAGTAAACAAATATAGTATTTTTTTTTTTTTTTTTTACTTTTTGGGACATAAGGGAAGTTGGAAAGCATAAATAAACAATTAAAATAATATATACCAGAAAGAAAAATAATAATAATAATACATTTAATTTGTAACGCACAAAACATCTCAAAGTGCTACAGGAAGAAAAATAAAATAGAAACAAAAACAGATTTAATCAACTAAGCAACTAACGAAACTAAAAGCACAAGCAGAAGGCTTTGTGTATATACATAGACAATAAAGTAAATAAATCAACAAAGATGCATATTTAGATTTTTTTAACACCCGCCAAAATGCTAATGACGTCATCATTCCGCGACGATTACAACCACAACAACAACAGCAGCAGCAGCAGCACCAGCAGTACTTTAACGACACAGTCAAAGTGGGCAAATGAAAACGTCGGGAAACGATGCTGCAGCCAGAAACAGCCCGACTTCTAACAGAGGGACAAATGTTAGTAAAAAGCAGCGATGTAGGAAACACACAGGAGGAGCCGGGGCTCAGTGAGGCAGAGGAGGGAAACCCGTTCAACTTCACCCCGCAGCTCCTCCGCCTGCACCGGGACCACCAGCTGTTTGAGGTAACTTAGCAACAAGACGAATAACAGACTGACCAATAACAACACAGTGAACCTACAGACTAACACGTTCTGATGTAAAAACACTGTTTTCTATTCACCTGTCGATATAAAAACTGATGAATCTGTTGCAGGATGGAGACATTCACAGACACATGTATCTACAAGATCTCTACGTCTCAGAGACAGACGACAAAACAACCCTCAGGTAAGACTATGTCAATCAAACTTTATTTATACAGCACCTTCACACAAATTAAATTGCAGTTCAGACAAGTGCTTAACAAGAGTGCAGAAAAGTTGTTGACAAAAAGTAGTTTGTAAAATCATTGAGAGACTAATGCACACCAATAAGAATTTAAAAAATAAAATAAAATAAAATAAAATAAAATACGACACATAAAAGCAACAAGATATTAAAATAAATACATAAGAGGAAAATATTTAAAATTGTCGTAGGATAAAAAAGACAATACAGTAATGTTAAGATTACAAGAGTGCAGAAAAGTTGTTGACAAAAAGTAGTTTGTAAAATCATTGAGAGACTAATGCACACCAATAAGAATTTAAAAAATAAAATAAAATACGACACATAAAAGCAGCAAGATATTAAAATAAATACATAAGAGGAAATATTTAAAATTCTCGTAGGATAAAAAAAGACAATACAGTAATGTTAAGATTTGAAGTGATATAATACACTATATAAAAGCAGACTGAATAAATGAGTTTTAAGACTGCGTTTAAAAAGTCTTGATATTCTGGCTCCTCTCAGACCCTCAGGAAGGTCGTTCCACAGTCTTGGAGCGTAACAGCTGAAAGCAGCATCACCAAAGGTTTTTGTCCTGCTCTGTGGAACAACTATCGTTGGGCTGTGGGCTGTGTACAGCTAACAAGCAACAAACTCTCTACTGTAGTATGTAGCACACGTTATTTTAGTCCTATAAAAAATATATGAAAGAAGATTTGGTGTATAACGCAGCACATTCACACACTGCTACCAGTCAAGTGTATTTATATCACATTTCAGCAACAAGGCCATTTAAAGAGCTTCACACACGACATCAAAAACATCATGACAAACATTTTTGTACTTTTATAAACTCAATGCAAACAATTACTACAGATAGTATGGAGTAAGATTCTACAATTCTACAGTTCATTTAGCAGATGCTTTTATCCAAAGCGATGTACATCAGAGAGTAAGTACAACACAAGCAAGGATCTAGAAAAAAGGGAACAATGTGAGTAAGAGCAAACGATCAGCTTTGAGTCTGATTGGACACACAGGTGCTGACAGGAAGTGACCAGAGGCAAAGCACAACATGAGGGCAGTTCTTGAGAGCTCTAATCAGTATAGAAACCATCTTATAAGTCGTCGTTTATCAAACAAAAACAATCGTCACAACCATCATCATCATCAATAATATGGAGACCATCATCATTAAGTTAGTAGGTATTCATGAAAGAGCTGGGTCTTTAGCTTTTTCTTAAAGGTGCAGAGGGACTCTGCAGGTCGAATGGAGTTTGGAAGTTCATTTCACCACCGGGGGGCGACAGAGGAGAAGAGTCTAGTTAGAGACTTAAGACCCTGTTGTGAAGATAAGAAGATAGGAGATAAGATAATCCTTTATTGATCCCCAGCGGGGAAATTCAAGTGCTGTAGCAGTAAAAGACAAGAAGAAGAGCGTGCATATAGTACAAATAAAAATTGGAATATAGAGCAATAAAATAAAAATAAAGATAAAGGTACTATGTATTTACGACTATTATAAGCAAGAATTAAGTAAACAATACACCAATTAAAATCTTACCTATACACCTAAAACTATACAGGACATTGTGACGTATGAAGTGGCAAGTTGAATTTATAGTGACCAGTTAGTATCAAGACAGAGTTGAAAATAAGGTGGCCAAAAGTAAGCAATAAATATCAAAATAAAGCATCTAGAAATGATATGAAATAAGTGACAGAGTCCAGGGTATGTCAGTGTGACAGCCACTGCTGTTGTACAGTATAGGTTGAAATGAAACCACCATACCCAAGTTACTATTATATTAGAGTAATACAGGTGATATGTTAAATGAATGGAATTATACTTGACTTTGACATCATATCACGACTTACAAGTGTTAAGTTGTTAAGCATACTCCACTATTGGTCGTGTGGGCAAATCTCTTAATTTCATCCCAACATTTTTTACTCTTAAAAGAAAGAAATTAACTACCAAATACATTTTGCGCCTTTTTGGCAACAACTGTGGCTTACATCTTTTCCAATGATGGGTAATCCTGCAACCAGTTAATGTCAGTGTGGGTCAGTCACTGTCGTGCTCCTCTTGTCTTCTCTCAGTGTGTCAGAATTCGCCTGTCACATTTCTGGCTGCAGTGCAGTCTTCAGCGCTTTAGAGGAGTACGAGCACCACTACAACTCCCTGCACAGACATGTGTGCTGCTCCTGCCGGCGCTCCCTGCCAAGTGCTCGACTCCTGGACATTCACATTCAGGAGTGGCACGACTCCCTCTTCACTATCCTCGCCCAGAGACAAGATATGGTAAGTCAAAAAGACAGAATGTCTCTCTAGTTGTGTTCTTTATGATCTTATTATGAACTTCATATTCATTAAGCTGAGAGCAAAAAGCTGTACGCAAAGCAAATTATTTTAAATAAACTGAAAATGATCTGCTATCCCATGGTTTGGGACACTCACTCAACATACAGTAGGTAGGCATTAGGGAAATAACCCTTGTTGTTATCGGGCATGGACTTAAGCCAGTAAGGCCCCTTTTCTCTGATCATGATAACAATTTCAACTTAAAGATTGTGGTTTAAAATAACACTTTGGGGAAAAACCTGTCTCTTGTGTTTAATATGTTTGCATCCTCACATTCAAACTAAATATTATACACATTTCCTGTGTTTGTCATTACAAATCTGATTTCTCTCCAGCTCCTCGTATCTTCAAAAGACCTTAATAATTAAGGTGTTTTCATCTAAAAGTTCAAAAACGATGCCTATGCTTTTAGTATTCATTCAACAAGTTTGTCTAGCGTAAGCTCTTGTTGAATTATAAATAAATATCCCAGAACGTCACACGTCTGAGCTGATTCCTGACACCTTTTTTACATTTTCAGTACCAGTGTTTGGTGGAGGGCTGTGGACAGAAGTTCAGGACGAGTCAACACAGGAAGCAACATCTGATAAAAGTTCACAAGTATCCCCCAGACTTCAGATTTGATAAAACCAAAAAGGACCGAGGGTAAGGCTGTACCTCTTCTTTTGTCCACTAGATGGCAGCATAGTGCCAGAAGAGATGTGAGTCCCTGCAAAGTTTCAGTCAAAGAGAGTTGTGTTTGTTAATGTATAAGGATGATTCTCACTGAATTGAATCTTTTGTGTAAATTGTAAAATTGAAGCAGTATTTGTTTTTTATTATTTGAAATTCTTTAGTTGAAAACTTTTTTTTGTGAGATCCTTGGCTGCTGTCTTTGAAACTTTTTTGAATTTCACTTTAAAAATGAAGCTCCGGAGTTGATTATTTATTAAAAAAATAATATTCTGAACTACCAAACTGTAAAATATTGTCTTAAAAAGCCTTGTATGTGTATGTTGGTTTAACTTTTCTATTTATTTCTGATATCTTTTTTTTTTTTTTTATGGACACAGGGAGACAAAGAGACCACAGCAGAAAGACACATCCATGGAAGTAGCAGAGAGTGTGTGTGAGTCTGAGGGTGTGTGTGAGGTTATGTGTGATGTGCTGTCTGACCAACCCGAGCACGGGGAATCCATGGAGACGCATGTGTCGGAGGAAGAAGCTGCTCGCACGGCTACATCTGCCATTACTGAGGATCATGCAAACCTTTCTGCTGCTGCTCACAGCGCGGAGAACACGAGCTCTCAGCCGCTGAAACCACAATACTCCTACAGGTGAGTCTGGATATTCTCATGCTGGTAGTAAGAACGTCAGCTGTTTTGAGAAATGTTAAGGTTAACTCTGGGAATTCAGAAAAAACAAGATTAAACGTTGCAATAATGTTGGTAACTCTGGGTTAGGCAACATATATCATATTATGTCATTCCAATGTATGCTGGTTGACTGCTTCATTTTATTTACTACTATATTTTTTTATTTAAACAACAAGCAGTCAGAAGTATTAAACAGCACCCATGAATTGTCCCACAGGGTCCCTACAAACGTGTGCTTCGGTCACGGCTCAGTCCGAGGCTTCAGAGGGCGACGAGGAAGGAGGAAATGATGAAACACCAGAGTTAAACTTTCTCTTCTTCATGATGTGTACATTTATACCCGTGCTGGGTAACATAGTATATTCAGAATCCTATGTGTCGGCCTTAAAATAAAATGTTTTTATAAAATATAAAGTGTTGTGTATAGGAATTTATCTACAGGATGAAGAATAAGTGGAGTTGTGTGTTCTACGCTGCTGTGTGGCTCCCGTCTCACAAAGCATCCTTCCTGTTTTCAGTTCCTGCATCACTGTTGTCTTCATTTTTAACAAGCTTTTTGTCACATCAGCTCCTAAAAAGTATATGTTGACCCTGATCTGGTTAAAAGTGTGACTTTAATCTAAATGCATGTGTTGTACATTTAAAACAATGACTGAATGCAGCTCGATGCTGTATCTTTAAATTACACGTCATGTGAATGTTTTCAAACTAGAAAACTTTGTGGGGGACAAAAAAAAGAGAAAAAAACAATATTTACATAATAGATTTTAATAAAGTACAAAACAACTTTTCACACATCAAATATATAAAATATTCTGTACATTAATGACTGATCGTCGTCCGTCAGTCATGTTGAGCATTCTGAGTGTTTGCAAAAATAGTTGAAGACCTTTATTTATTTTACATGTAGTGATGAATCTGTCTGTGGTCTTGGACTCTTAAGAGCTCTTTGAACATCTGTGCAAATCGAAAAATCTCCCCTTTGAGGTAAAATTAAATGAACTGACAACAGTAACTTTGTACAACTGAGAAAAATAATGAAGTTAGAACCAAGAGTATGACTTACAGATTGTAATTCTAAATTCACTTTGAAAGATCTCATGGCTGATATAACATTGACCAATTCACTGTGCAGTATTCAACAGCTTCATGTTTGAAGATAAAACCTCTAAATAATGTTTTAAATTTCATCACAACATCAAAAAAAAAAAAAAACACACCAAGAAGACTCAGTGTGTCTCGTGATTTTCTAAAAATAATGATTATAAATATAAACAGACAGTCTCTGTTCCTCTAGCTGATACAGAGAAAGTCTGATGATAAGCCATAAATGATCATTCAGTCCGTCAGAGTATACTAAGGGTCTAATTGTTTTCGCTCTGCTGCGTTTACGGTCCTCCAAATAGAAACACTCAAGATGAGGAAATGTCAAAGGCCTCTGGTAGGAAACATGGAAAGTTGTTGCTTTAAACCCAAATTTACAGGCATTTAAATAAACATGTCCTCTTAACGTGCAACATTCAAATGAGAAAACTCAAGTTCATGCAATGAAAAGCCCAGAAAGGCTCTACACTTAAAAACGTATTTTTAAACCTGCTCTGGGGAATTTTAGAAGAACAGATTAAACTGAATTTAGACTACTAAAAATGTCGATAATTAACTTTAACTTAAGTCTTCAGTTTTTCATTTACAGAGAATTAACATGAAATTGTAAAGGCATGACAATCAGCGGGAGAGAAAATAAATCATTTTTCTCTATCCGAAAGGAGCAAACTTCAATAAAGTCTATGTCAGAAACGAACAACATTTGTGTTAAAAAAATATATGTTTTGTGGTATGACGTTATTTCAGTTTGTACAAATACGGAATTTAAGATATTTAAAATAAGATTTAAGGCAGGTGGTCTCAGAAAATGGATTTGTTTTGCAGTAGGGGTCGGTTGCTATGTGAAGGTATTTTTAAGGCAGCTGTCCGGGTGATGCAGTTCAAAGTTAACTCGGGTTAAGATAAGTAGTACATCCCATACGGTCCACGGAAGAGTCCCGGGACATGTAAGGCAGGCCGCGGTCCGGTCAGGGCCCCGTACAGGGCCGGAGCGCCCAGCGGTGCGTTCAGGGGTAAAGGAAAAGCGAAGGCCGGCATCAGCGGCTTCGCGGCCAGTTTGTACTTCTCCAGCTCGGCCTCCTGCAGTCTCTTGGCTTTGGCTCTGCGGTTCTGAAACCAGATCTTGACCTGAGTCTCTGTGAGGCCGAGCGAGCTGGAGAACTCGGCTCTCTCCGCGATGGAGAGGTACTGTTTCTGACGGAACTTTCTCTCCAGAGAGAGCAGCTGAGAGGTCGTGAAGGGAGTCCTGGGTTTCCTGTTGTTCTTGTGTTTCCGAAGGTTGCACGTGCTGGGGCTGGGAAGTCCTGGAAGTAGATTTAGAAAATCACATTACTACTGCATTATAATATATATAAGCCATATGCACCATGTAGTTAAATTCACACTGGCACTATACCAACACCCTTAAAACAACATCACAACACTCTTGATGACAGTAACAGGCAGTGCAGGAATAGCCTATTTAATGTGCAATAGCATGTTTAAAATGTGCAATAATAAAAAGGTCATATAAAATGTAAGACTGCACTGAGGCACTTAAAAAAAACTTAAATCTTTTTTTTTTTAAAGACCATATTACGTAGGCTAATGTGTAAGTGTGTTTGGTTGAATGCTAGTGGACATGAGTGTGTGTTTTATTTTCAATAAATGCTTTCTATTTTTTTTTAATCGATGATATAGCTTAAGTAAAGTCAAGAAAAAACACAAGCATTGGGGGAAACATCTAAAAGTTTAATTATCACTCCCCGTCGTGTTAAAGGGGTGTGATTATCAATGGACGATGTTTTCACTTTCTAACATGGAATCAGTTTACTTCTATTTTGTACCATCTTTGTACTGTTTCATGAACAGTTTGAGAACGTAGAAAGTTTCGTAAAAAAAATGTAGGTTAGGCCTACTCATTTTTTAAATAGCCTAAGAAATAACAGTATTTTTGCGCTTACTTGGAGGGGATGCGTAAGGAGCGTGAAACCAGGGGCTCGACTCCCTGTCACTGAGGTCCACCGCCTCCGCTTTGGACCGATAGAGTCCCCTCGGTGACGCACACTCGGTCTCCTCCACTTGGACGCAACCTGAGCCGGGCTCGGGGGAGCGCAGGCTTCTGTCCGGCGTCCTGTCTGATATGAGAGACTCCACGCTGAAAGGCAAATCTGAACTTTTGGGTTTATATCTCCTGACGGATGACAGGTCCAGCTCGTCCGTCACCCGGTCCTCTGGAGAGGTTTCCCCCGGAGCAGCCGAGGGAGGTGATCCTTGCGCAGGATTCATTACGCACGACTGAGGTGCCATACAATCAATTTCCCTGCCGCTCTCTTTGCTTCTGTTGTTGTTTTCGCGTATTCACTCGAGGAAATCTGTGTTATTGCCCAGGTTCCTCTGGTGAAGCGCAGCTGCTTGGTGAACTTCAGTTTTTGCGCACGTAATCTCCTCTCCTCCAGTGAAGTGCAACAAGTTTCTCTTTCATCTTACCGCCTGCCTATCAGCGTGTCGTTGTTTCTACGTCACTCTTCTTAAAGTGTTTCTCATAGGTCAGGCTTTTAATGACAGTGTTTTGGTCTTCTTCACGGGCCTGTGGTCCACTGACGGACGTGAAACTCTGTCAGGGGCGGAGCGAAGAATCCTATTCTCATAATACACCCACCCCCCACCTTTTTGGACTACCCTGTCCCCCTCTCCCTCCACTCAAGAATTTATGCTGACCTTCTCCCATTGTGGGCTCCTACATCAGCACCATCATCCTGCACAATACTGACACACTGGCATTGGTTGGTTTAATTTGTTAACACTTACAAAATGCAATAAAACACCTGTGACAGCATGGAGACATGTGGAGGCGAGAACTTCTTTGATATTGCCTGAGACTTTTCATTATTTCACACTGATAATGCTCATGATATACTTTATGATGGATGTTAATGATACGTTTTTAACAATATTCTGCTTCTATTGTAAATGTTGTGACCTCTAAAAATCAAGACTTGACCGCCCCTTCCAAAAGAGCTTCACTTGAATATTTAAGTCCTACTTTGAGATTATATCTATAATGAATATTTTACTATTAAAAGTGCTTTGAATAGATTTTTGTAATATGCAAGATGTTTCTTCAGAAAGAATTATCAACAACTCTGCAGTTTACCTTCATTTAACTCTGTTTTTTGCTTTTCCTGCCCCAACATTATTGTCTTAATTTGCTTTTACCTTACGCTTATCAACTCAGTATTAATGGCTGTCAGCCAAAGTTAGCAACTTGCAAGTGAGCATACAGTTTGCAGGATAGCAGCTGAGAGGAAGACATTTAAGCCATCAGTAAAGATCAAAACAGATCTACAGATTGTGTTTACAGATTGTGCACTGACTTCAGAGATACCAAATCTTTTAGTTTGAACCAATATGTTGTTTAAAGAAGAAGCAATAAAAAGTCCAAAACACTTCCAAAACATCTTAAATAAAAAGAACAACCTTGGGTTTCAGGCCTTGGCAACTTCAAAATAACCTCAGTTATGTTTGTCCAGGCCCAGCCCTAATTGTATTTATTTCTATATTTATTTGTATCCTCGTTAACCACTACCAAGATAGCAGCTAATGCTCAGTGGGTCACACATGTAAACAAAACATAGAAACAACTTTAAACCAAAGGCAAAAAAAAAAAAACAGGCAAAATACCAAAAAGACAAACTGTATGATTTTAATATCCTTATAAAACTCCATATGTGACATTTTCTTTATAGAATACATCACACAAAAATCCATTCTCAAGCAGTGCCCCCTTCAGGCCTGGAGCACTTCCATTGCTGCCATGGTTTTCCTGTTGAGTTTGTATTTGACTTTGCTGCATTTATATATTTGCAACATGTTTTGCTGTCAGTGCATTTATTTTTTGCCTTTTGGCCACATGTTGCTTCATTTGCATTTATTATTTCGCACCAAACAAACAACGATTCTTGTTTGTTTTGTTGCCTGTTACAACTTCTTGTCTGCCATCGTCCAGGATCGGAAAAAAAGGAAAGAATGCCAATTTAAAAAACTGATTCAAAATCTCTCCACATATGTGTCTCAGTGAAATCAGTTCAGTAAAGTTTGTTTCATCATGCAGCCAGAGCCGTAGTGCTGTTACTTCTTGTAGCTTCTTGTTTAAAAAGTTGAGCCTGAGAAATGTTGACAGTAGTTTATCACTTTCATTAAAGCAGTAGTGTGATACAGGCGGTGATTTACTGTTCTTTTTATACGCTCAAGAGTTATTATCACTATAGATTTCTATCTTGTGGCCTGTAATCAAATTATCTATGGATGTGTACTGCACATAATTCAACCTATTGTGCTCATTGTGTGCAATCCCTTTGAGAGACAGTAAAACCACAACTAATGTTGCAGAGGCCCATTGAGGAGGCCAGTCCAAATTGCTCTTGTTCTGTAGCTCTTCAAATGAAATAATTTTCAGTGAAACTCAATATGTGAGAGTATTTTTTTCCTCTTTTATGGGAACTGTTGTTTGGCCTGCAGCAGCTCACTGACTGTCTCTCTGTAGGACAATTGTTTAAACCCAGTTAACTGTTTCTCTGCCCGAGGTACATTTCTGCTTTGATCCTGCTGCGCCTGGCGCCTGTCTGCTCTCTCTCTCCCCCCTCCCTCTCTGTGTGACAGTGATGGATCGCTGGGAGGCCGTACGAGCTTTCAATGACTGTAATTTAGTGCCCGACAACATTACATTCTCCTCTACTTACAGTGATTATTACCACTCTCTCTCTCTCGCTCCTCCTGTTTGACAAGGGATGTAGTGCTGTCTGTAATGTTTTGTTTCACTCGCATTGTTTCTTAATGAAAGAGTCGAGGCTGTTTCCTGCTCATGTGAGCTGCACAGGAATGCCAGAAATTCTATAAGTTCTTTCACTGACTATCTCCTCAATTTGTATGTCTCTATTATTATTCAATTGAAACAGGAAATTGGACATTCATTTTTTATAAGTGGGATTTTTTCTTGTTTTTGGGTGTTTCACTAAAAAACAAACAACATGTCAAATGGAGCCAGAGGTCCTCTTCTGCTAAGTGCTACCATATTAGAAAGAAGAAGATATCCTTTAGTAATCCCTCAAGGGGAGATTCACTTTAACTCTGTTACTGAGACATGCTACACACATTAGGCTGAAATACACACACATGCACAAACAGGATCCTATGGACATGGATCCTATGGAGAGATGTCAGGGTGAGGGGCTGCACATAAAAAGAGCAACCGAGTAGTTAGGGGTTCGTCGCCTTGCTAAAGGTCACCTCGAGAGGGAACGGGCACCTCTTCAGCTACCAGACCAATTTCCAGACTGGTTCTGCACCGGGGCTTGGACCGGCGACCCTCCGGTTCCCAACCCAACTCCCCACAGACTGGGCTGCTGCCGCCACAAAACCCTGATACTGCTTTTTAATATCTGTAACAATGCAGCTTTTTTCCTTCAATTTGTGTGAACTGAAATATTAATGCACTATATAGAATGTATCAGCTGAGGCTGAAGATAACATCATTAGCAGTTCTTTGGTGATGTTTCAAAGTATTGATCAGGTGAAATCAATATAAAGTTCAGAGATCAACAAATATGTTTTCACTTTGTACAAAATTGTTGTGCCACTTGATCCACTTAAGAATCAGATACTTCGCTGGATAAACAAAGACGTTGGCCTGTCTTTGGCACTAAAGGAAAAATCGCCAAAGCCATAATGTTTTGACCTCAATGTGACATTGAATCCCTTCTTTGGATTGTGATATGATCTTTGCTGATTTTGTATTGTGTAATGAAACCTGTTTTGGAAATAAAACAAAATGATTGAACCTTTTTCTCACCTAAAACAACTTTAATCTGATTTGACTGTTTTACTTCTGAAGTCTTGCAGTTATAAAATAAATACAGTTCTTTTGGATATAACGGAAAATGTAATCTATATTAATATAAACTGTTGTATTTTGAGATATACCTTGTCATTTTTATACATATAAATATTTAGTTCAGTGGTTCTCAACTGGAGGGTCGGGACCGAAAAATGGGTCGCAGAGCTGTTTTCAGTTGGCCACAAATGTGTTAATAAAAAAAAAAAAAGTTTGGATCAAAAAGTCAATGAAGCTCTTTATTAACATGTTTGTTTTGTTCTATTTCCTTTGTTGTCACATGTTTCGTCTGTAAGCGGTCCAAACTGCACCATTGTTCATGAAATAAATCTGATTGGTTGAAAAATATCAGGAATACTGGGCGTGCATGAGGCTAGACCAGTTGAGAAGCACTGGTTTCGATACTTCCCTTTGTTTTAGGCGCCGCAAATATCTGTAAGAAATGTCATGACAATTTATTCAATATTGAACAATTTATCTAAAAAAAAACAGAATCATAAAGTTCACCTGCTGGTTGACTTGAGGAACATTCAGTGGGTTTTAAGAGGGTATATTAGACTCTATAAAAATATTGTACTTTATTTTTGTATTTATAAAGCTATGATCTTAGTTTCCCACAAAACACACACACACACACATACACTTAAAAAACCTGCTGGCGTACCAAAGTGGAGAAATGTTTAAGGAGCTGATTGCGGTTTCTAAAAGAGTTCTCCTTTCGTACCCAACATGTCGAGGCAGGCTCTTTATATTTCATTTTTTAAATCGTCCTCTTTCATGAGAGTTGGCAGGACCTGCAGTTATCCTAAGCAAACCGTGGGGAGGGGGCTGGAGTCGTGTGGGATAAACATTTATGAAACGCACAGCGGGGGAACTCTGCGGTCAAAGTGTATCGTCTTAAAAAGAGACGGGAGGCCCGCCTGGTGGAGCATAACAGAACATTATCCCGCGTCTGAGTGGAGCTGCCAACATTCGTATGTCAAAATGTCAAACTATTTAAGATCGCAAACCTTCTTTTCCATTCTGACCTTTATAAGTATTCTGTGTATTGTGACGCACACATTGAAGTGTTAATTGTCACATGCACATGTATTGAATTATTTCATATTCACCACATTATCTTCACTTTAACTTAAAGGTACAGTGTGGACTTTCAAAATGTTGTGAAACAGCTTCAGCTTAATGCCGATGCCTCTACATGACCACGAAGAGCTAACCAGACTCTCATCAACATGATTGTCTCATCTGTTAGTTTTTAATGTCTGTCACTGATACCACCAGGCCGGATTCCCATGACACTGTTTACAGCACGCAGCCCGAATGAGCCTTTGTTTACGCTTAGCAGGGAAAGCTTCAAAGTGAGATGTACTGTATGTTACCCAATTAAAAGAAGCAAGACCAGATTTTTAGTCGGCGCATATACTCATACTTACAGGATTGGATCAACAAAGAGATGAGACAGACAGCTTTGTTCACAGGGACGGCAAAAGTCGACACAAACTACTTTGCACAAAGCTACTGTGAGGAATCTTCATTTTGTGGCAATAGATAATAACTGGAATCAGACTTAAACTT